GATTCTTTTAATTAAGTGTGGGAAAAGGCAGAAAATTACATACACGTGTTACATTTTCATAGGGTATCGGGTACATAATCTGATTTGAAACCAAAAATTCAAGCGATTGCTTGCTTGTGGATTTCAGTCATTTTCTGGAGCCGCCATTGTTGAAAAACATTCGGAAACGTACCGAAATTTGAGGATATTTTAGCAACAATGCCTTGATTTTTATGCTCTGTATCTCTCTCAATATATTTACCTGTGAAATACATAGGAAATCTTTAAAATGTTTAAAAGTTATAAAATAATTATTAAATTTACTGATTGTTATATAATAATTATTAAATTTAATGTATATTTTGTAATTTTTTAACAAATTTAATGATTAAAAAGATTATTTGAGTAAACTTTAACAACCTTCTATGTACTTTGACGAATTTAATGCTGGCCGGTTTGGCTTTTAGCCCTGGGTTCTGATAATACATGATAAATGAACTACTTGAAATTTGTTTGTCTAGAGAAATAGATGTATATGGTTTGTCTCTTGCATTGATTCAGTGCATTTATAAAATAACTTGGACTACTAAAATGGACTGTTTTTATGCCACGTATGATAACTTGAACCTCAGATTAATTTGGCCAAATGTTTCTAGATCACCATTTAAATTTTAAAATATTATGATATTTTCTAAAATTGTTATATTAGTCAATTTATTCAAAGGTATGAACTTTAAGACATAAATAAATTGATAGATGAGCAGAGAAAGCTACAATTATTTAAGTGGATCGCGATAGCCACGGCACCTCCACGGACTCCACCGATATGTTAAGAGTCGAAAGTGAGCAGAAATTACGAGTTAACCGAGTTGCAAGAGTTCATATTATGAGACATGTGATCCACCCACCATAATCTTTCACGATCTTCTTGTCACGATTGGTATGTAATAAACAGAAACAAAGGGTGAACGACTATTAAAGAGTCATTTTGGTACCTATCTTTTGCCTAACTAAACTTTCCTCCCAACTCTTGGTCCATTAAATAAATAAACTTCTTCCAACTCTAACCAATAATTGGTCTAAGAACGGTTTTAGTCCTCAGGGTATTTTACAATGTTTTAAGAGTATGTGGTTTAAATTTGTTAAAAAATGAATTTAATATAAAGAAATAATTAAAGAAATTTAGAAATAAGGGACCAATACAAAACAATTAAATTTCTTTACTTATTCGAACTCTACAAATTCAAACTCAAACTCAAAATTCATACCGACTAAAAAACCCAAGTAATATAAAATTATGTTTTCGAGTCTAATTGAGTTTTATTCGCCCTTAATCTCTCTACTCTATTTTCAATTTAGCGCATTTGATCGCACGCTTTTATATGGTTATTATAAGAATTTTTGTCACTCAATGATGTGTGGGTATCCCTTGTTTCTAACAAAGTAGCTACCGGGCCTGCTATGGTTCAGTTTTTAACAACAATTCTCTTGGGAATATGTAGTTTTATTGCGAGATAAACAAATTTAAAGTTAATTTATAATATTATGTAAATTTATAATATTTTTGATTGTAACTGAAAAATTATATTATGATGTTTAAGATCTATATCAAAAAATATTATGAAGAATGTGTACAACATAAAAAATTACTCTTGATAAAATTTTTAATTACAATTGATTTATGAAACTTTTTAACTTTATATTAATAAGTTGTATTTTAAAATTTATGCTCGAGAATGAATGGAATGAGGCAGGTAAGTCCAAAATGCGTGGGGCGCTGTGGACTTTGGCTTTAACGTCGTGGAAAGGGTGATGGTCGCAACAACCCTTGTTTTTCTTTATTTTTGTTAATGCTGAAATAGTTGAAACCGAGACTAAAAGGTAATTTCCTCGTAATTTCTCGTGCGTAGAATTTGTTGAGCGATGAGCGCAGCGCAAAGACAATGACGAGGACGAGGACGAGGATGTGTGATGATCATCATTTATTTATTAAATAATTGCATCCACAATTTCCTTGCAGTTTCCACTCGCGTCACCTACTGCTTTCACGCCACTGCCGACTAACGATTGTGGTGTGTGTATCTGCCGTGCGTTGTGACGGATTATTCTTTACTTTTCAAAGGAGGTAAAACCATTTTTTAGGTTGTTTTTGCGCTATTTTTTTTAATTACGCAGTGATTATAAAATATCGTATATTTGAAATTTTATTAGCTATTTAATAATATGTATATATCTTATAGATATAATTATTTGAATTCAATCATTTAAAAAGAACACTAATTTTTGTATTACTAAAATGACTCAAAATTTAAGAGGTTTGAATTATAACTTTTTAAATAAAATAAAATAAGTTGAAATAACCATCTCTATAATAGACTTTGTAATATTACATTCAATTAAATCAACTTTCGTTGCTCTAGATTAGTAATTTTATCATTGCATGTAGTAATAAAAAATGATTGGAAATGGTTAAACAAACTTAGGTGTTTTTTTTTTGAATAATTTTATTACAAAAAAGAGATTTTTAAAAAAATAATTCTAACAAATGCATTTTTTACATTTAATTATTGACATTTGGGTTTTATCGACATGAAAATAGTAATAAAAAATGATCGGAAATGGTCTCTTTTAAGCTTCTTACATATTATTAATAGTTTTTTTTAGGTCGATTTCATTGTATTAAATTGAAAGTCTCCCTTTTTAGCTAACCATCATGTACCGTTCATACTTACTAAAGAATTACAGAGTACCAACTAGGAAATATCAAAATTTCATAAAATATATTTTTATAAGACAATGTACTGTTCATATATATTGGAATTCTTAATGTGAAAATTAGGTACAGAAGAGGTGGGTAGTGTGAAAGTAAATTTTGTGTTAATGGACCTTAATTTTCAAGTTTTTAAATATAATATTTTTATATAATAATATTAATTGTAAATAAAACTAAAATAAAGAACAAAAATTGTAAATAAGTAAAATAAAAAACTAGTCACTTAAGACCACATAAAGATCATATAAATAAAGATTAAAAATTTAACCAAGAAACTCGAATAAAGATAGATCCAAACAAATCTGATCGCATCGGCAAACGAACCACAAAGGAGATCAAACTATTAAAAATAATGTCAAACCGCAAATTAGACTCGAGCGACATGAAAAGCTATCTACAAACACAAATCATGTATCCAAATCTAATTCGATGATCCAAAGCAGGAAAGATCAAAAGATAATATATAAGTGTCATCTTGATAAGTCGTGGGCAATGTCAAATCAACCCTTGAAAAAGATAAATGAAAATAACGATCGAAAAAACAAAAGAAAACGTGTTATGAAGATAGATAAAAACTGTTTTATGTAGACAATCTTATTAAAAAAGAAAAAGAAAGAAGATGCGATATTAAAAAAATAACAAAAAATACTAATAATCATCAACTAATATTAAAACTAATGTCACTGCGGATTAATAAAAATTAAAAAGAAAGGGGACGAACGACGCAACTATGAGATAAATATTATTAAAATTGATAATTGATCATTAAGATTATCTTTTATAGATGTAAGGGTTATTAAAACTTAAAAAGCTATATTGAATTTAGAGAATCAATTAAAATAAGTAATTGGGAAAGAAAAATAGAAATTGATTGATTTGATTAGGTGGATCATTTCAATTTCTTAGACTAGACTGAATATTTCAAAAGAAGAGAGAGTAGATATTGGGTTCAAAGTAAGGCCTGATTCATTAGCCAATGCATACTGGAAAATGGAACCCAGATACTTCCCCTTCACCAAGTAAACTTACGTAAAGCCCAAAGCAAAAACAAGATTACAGGAGTAGTACTTGCACTTTATACGTACATATATGGCGTTTTTTTTAAAAACAAATATGATTCGCGTTTATGTACTCTTTTTATATATATTTCATATTTTTATTTTTAAAATTTTAATTATTTAATTTGAAAAATTATTAATTTTTTAATTAATTGTAAAATGATATCATTGATAACAAAAAGAAAATAAATTCAACATATGATTACTTAACTATTCTAAACGTTTAAATAAAATATTTTTAACAAATTTTAAAATTAATTTTAATCTTATTTAGAGGGATAGAAAAGAAAGATTCCAAGGAAAGAAAGTGAAATGCTTTAGTAGATGTAGAACCATAACATTAGAAAATAGGAGAGAATAAAGATAAATAATTTGACTAACTGACAAAATATGCTTGCTCAATTATTAGAATACTCATTTTTTTTGTCCTCCCGATTCGCCATGACTAATCCAAACCCACCAACGTCACATACTTATTTTTGGTGTGCGAGTCTCCCAGCAGAGAGATTCTCTGCATACACAAGAAATCAAACTCGAGCCTTACTTAAGTGATTTCAAACTATTTACCATTTAAACCAACATTGTTGATTTATTAAAATACTCATTTTAAACAACAAAATTATGAATTTATAAAATTTGATTACTTAATCGTTAGTAAGTAAAGAAATATGGCATAAAGTTGTTTGCGGAAGCTGCTCTCAACCTGGAGTTGGGGACAACCTACTACCCTACTTCTCCCTTATCTTATTATATATAGGAATAGGGTCAGCTAATTTTTTTTGTTTGAATAAATAGTCATTTTAATTTATATTATGTTTTTTTAAAAATATTTTGACCCTTAAATATCTTATTTTATGACAAAATACATCTTATTTTTTTACTAAATAGTTGTTTTAGTCCTTTCTTTAGTAATTTGGCCACCAAGTCCAACAGTTTATTTTAGGTAAAAGAAACTCATATTTTGAAGTGTTGGTTGTTTGTTTACTAACGGGTTCTACCAATGAATAGACTTTTTATCCTAAATAAAACGTTAGAAACCAAAATGTTCTAAAAAGAATATGAACCAAAATGTCCATATAAGTTCATCTTCCCTTTAAAATTTTATAAATTCGCTCATTCTAACATAAAAATCTTGCCTTTGTCATGAAACCAAGCTTCAAACTGTAGTCCAAAGTAAAGAAGCGGGTGAATTACCTGAAGAGCTCGGTTTTATTTAAGAAATGCAAAAACGCCCTTAATAGTCTAACATAGGTTATAGAACTACAGAAATGTATCCAACTTGGAAGGGCAGCAGAGTTACATTCTCTCTTTAGATTGGTTGACCCTCTGGTACAATTTGATCTTTGAGCCACATGTAGATCGGTACCAGTACATAATATGCTGCTGCCATGGTACCCAACATGAAGCGGAAGAGAAATGCAATCGGATTTACCGGCTTTGATACGTCCTCCGCCTTCGGTCCGAGCTGCAAAAGAAACGAATGATGAAATAAAAAATCCAAAAGATGACTGCTGTCACATTAGTTCCATGAAAATTCATATTTCACCAGTCAGTGCAAGCTGCAGAGAGGATATGTATGCCATGACTCGATGCTGACAATATAGTAAATATACATCGGAGGTTACATCGGAGATGGTCGTGAACTTAACGACACGGAGATTATACCAAGATAGTTCTCTATGATTCAATGTCAGTAGACACAAATCTGTACAGTTGATTAATTATGGACCAAAGAAATCATTTCCATACATCTTATAGCTCTTCTTTATGTTCCATTAATCAAGTATCATCTGAAAATGTATGCACCTAATATACTAAAAGCGATTAGATAATCCTATAGATCGACAAATCAGTTCAATACTTTCGATAGTTCGAAGACTAACACTTCAAAAAAGACGATTACCTGCAAAGTAGAGTCCCCGGATGCAGGTTTAACACCGGTTACAGAGCACCCCATGATCAAACCGTGTCGGCGAACTCCACGATACCATTTAGGGCCAATCCTTTTGAGTTGGACATCCTTAAATCCGGCCTTTTCGAACCACTCTATGTACTCTTCCTCCTTGGGGAAAAGCATCCAAACATCGGCAAAGAAGCGAGACAGCCAAAATGTCGGGTACACCGGACCGATCAAGCAAGCTTTCCCTCCTTTTTTCAACACCCGGTATGCTTCCTTGATCCCCCTTTGTGGGTCTGGCCAGTACTCTATGCTGAAAATTACACAATACCATATTCCCCACATTTCAAAAACAAATCATCCATGCAAACCAACTAGAAGAATCTTACCATATACTCCTACATACAGAGATGGACAACTGAAAATTTCAAATTATCGTATAATTAAGATATTTTCTTCGTATAAATGCATCCCTTGATATAAAATCATGCGTCTAAGTCTACAAGATGCCTCATTTAACAGTATAAAGCTACCAAAATTTTCCATCTTGATTAACAAAATAGTCCCATAAGGGTTGAAAATTATACCTTCCAGCAGACACATATCTATCGGCATAATCAGTAGGAAAAGGGAGATCTTCAGCATCACCTTCGATTATCTTGCATTCCTTGAGAGGCTCCTTTTGTTTAGCTTTAGCAAGCTGGTGTGGAGACTGGTCGAGAATTGTCACATTCTTAGCATCGACATGCTTAACAATACCCAAAGTAGTGAAACCGGTTCCACCGCCGACATCGACAACCACCATGTCCCTTTCGTTGAGATCAGCTGGGTCGAGGGCATCGTCCCTCATGTCTTCGGTCCAGTGACCTGGGTTTATCACATGGTCATAGACGATCGAGAGGAATCTGTAGAACCAAAAGGCTTCCTTTTTGTGTTGTATGAATCTCGGTTGTGAAGTTGGCCTTGAAGCTGATAAGCTGCACCTCGGGGATATCGTTGTTCCTGGCCTGGACATCGTTAAACCCACATTGGAAAACTGTTTCCCATGGAAACCTGACCCCAAAAAACCAATCTTTTTGGGGGCTACACCTCCTCGGATGAGAGTGAAGCTTTGAGCTCCATTGAGTATGGAAGAAGCCATGGATTGAGAAAATGAAAAGCTACCCAAAGACTGAAAAGTTGCAATCTTTACTGGAAAGTTGAAAGAGTAGAGAAAATACCAAGATGATGACAAGAACCCACCAGCCAAATCTGGTGGTTGGCTCTGTTCTGGGTGGTGGTTAAGCCTATTAATCAGGTGAAGACTGAAGAGATGAATGAGCCGAAAGTACTACTAGCCCACTAAAACACGGTACAGCCCGTCACAGCCCCTAGAAAATTTAGTTAACAGGCACCACGGGATTTATTTCGTTTTTGCTTGAATTTTGTCTTTATGTTTAGGAATTTATGAGAGCAGGAAAATGATCGCAAGCAAGTGATCGTGGACTCTCAATATCCTCTCTCTTCATTGCCTACCTACCACTGGCCTCACGAGTAAAAATCACAACCAGGCATTTCGTTTTGATGGGCTTGTTGTATTTATAACTCTTTTTGGGTTACATTTAATAATTTTGGGTTATTTATTCACTCATGGAATAAAATTTAAGGTAAACTACTCTAATTTGTCATTAAGTTTTATGGTTTATATAAATTTTATATCAAACTTCAAAAAGCTTCGATTGCAATATTAAATTTTGGTTTTGGATTCAATATAAGCATCGAGTCGTTAAATCGTTAATGATATAATGAAATAATATTTTTCTTTCTCATAAATTTTATTTTGTTCGTCAATTGTCACTAAATTTTAAAACATTTTATTTTTAGACACTAAACTTTAATTTGTGTATCATTTGTGTCTCTGCATACAATCATCAACTTCTTCGGCTGTTGTTTACTCATTATCAATCAATCAACACTTGCCATCGATTGATGTTTGTGATAAGATTACCATCAAAATGTTTGCATTTCGCTCTTCTTTGTTCTCCTTGGATTGATCTTTTACGAAACTAATTCAAAATCGATAAAAAATATCTAAAGGTTGATCTCAGGCTCTAATACTTTCGACCGACAGATAAAACTAATTTTGAGATAATTCTTTACAACAGGCAGTCGATGAGTTCGCGGTTTCTGCATTAAGATTTGTTTTGCTTCGAGCACTAAGATTCAGAAAGTCGCTGTCGCAACGAAATGTGCCGTATTACAGCTTAGTATGCCTTATTATTTTCTCTCTTCTTGTATCTTCATTTACCGGAAGAGATGGACGAAGTCGAGAAAACAGATAATGTGTCAACATTGTGTGAGGAATAAGTTTTAAGAACTAGATTTTCGTCTTTCCCTTGAAGTTGCGAACCTAGAAACGAGTTACCGGATTCTGAATGGTTATCCTTATTCGACCCAGATTAACAACAGCCTTTTTCTTCTCCATCAGATTGTTGTGTTGCACGGAAACCGGACCTGATCCGCTACTTCCATTGTAACTACAAAAACTGGTATCGTTCTTGCATACTTCGTTTTCGATGGAGTTGCTAGTTTCTTTTTAGCCATTAATGGTTGGATTTCTTCATATGATCCTTTTATCAGAAAACAAAGTGAATTTCTTGAAATTTCTTCAGTCAAATCACCTTTCATAACAAGACATGAAATCCTGTTATTGGCTCTAAGCTTCAACATGTAAAGCTCAAATTCAACCATATACTTTACATGTTATATACACCTGAAAATTTATATAACTACAAAGGTTATGGTGCCGCCTGCAGGTGAAGAGACTCGGTAGCCATATCCGAATGGCTCACAGATCTCGAAAACTGTCATTGGTTAAGTTATGGAGTCTGATTAAACCAATTACATCCATACACCATGACAAGACATAAGAGACATGAACAAGATCGGATCATAGAACATGAGCCGACAAAAGGTGTCTCAACTGGAGTAGGTGTTCATCGTCCGAAATGTTGAGGGAGAGGCGGAGATTTGTCAACATTTCCTCTTGCTCCCAAGTTAAAGGACCTGAAACATACAATGCCTCCACTGTTGACTTGTAAGCATGACGCTCTAGTTCATGGATATTGACGACTTTGTCAACATGGGATGAGGGTAAGTTTCTTTTGACACACAAAGACGGGAATGATGACTCAGCATCGGAATGATCGGGTATGTTTTCCGATGATTTAGGAGAAATCCAGCCACCAAAATCAGCAACACCATTAAAACTACAGCTAGCAACTGAGCATTGGTCACTATTTTCAGTATACCAGGCAGGGCTAGAAGAATGATATACAAAGTTGGGATTAGTATCTTCCATCCGGTTATTAGTTTTTGTCAGTTTAATGAATTTTTCATTGATCCCTGCATGTCGGTAAGAGAATTCATCTACCCGATTAAACAAAGGATGTGTTCTCTTATGAGGTGATTTCCTTGTCATGAGTTTTCCACCAAAGTGCTTCTCGATGTTGAATTCTTCAGATTGATGAGCGTAGACTTTATGTATGGCTCTCATGGACAGACACATGGTGGCCTTATCAGCCCCATCCTTATTTTGTAATGGTGTCTTGAAACACAAGCAACCAGCACGGTATGGAATTTTCGGTGTAAAATTGTTGTTCAAATCTTTACTTCCAGCAACCTGCAAACACGTAATCTGATTCAGATACACTAATGATACATATAGAAAAGAAAGAACTAACAGAAAAAACACCTAATCACCAGCAGTCTCACAAAAAGGTCACAGGAAAAACAATGCCTTCCACTTGCCAAGCATAAGTAGACTACATGCAATGATGAAATTCATATCATAAAAAACTATTTGAAGGCAAGAAGAAGAAATTTTCTTGAATTCATTCGAACGGTCTATCACGAGTTACGCCATGCTTCATTGAAAGAGACCTCCAATAAACTCAAACAAAATCGACCCTTTTATATAAACATTTAGAAAAGAGAATTTAATGCAAAAGCATGATGAATGTAGGCCGCTAACCTTCCCAACCACCATCCATTTGTTGCCATGCCAAGCCTGCCTAACCCTTAAACTTGATGCATGAAATTCCTTAAGTTGGATGGAACCAAACAACTTAATGACAAATGAATCATGGTTCTTTAACACCTTTGCAACCTTTCCTATCCTCCAACACTGGACATCAAACACCTCAGCGACATCGCCGACTGCCCAATTCTTCCCGTTTACATACGGAGGCAGCGGTCTAACATCCATCCCTTGCACGTTCGCAGCCACCCGATTTCCTTCACGGTCCGTAAACAGTTTGTACTGAATGATGTAGCTGTCACCATGTGCTGAAAGTATATTAGCAGTATACCAGGAGCCACATGGATCATCTTCTCTTCTTAAAACCTCCACCAAGTTCCCTTTTCTGAACTTCATTTCGTTTGAAACTATATTAACTAAAATGAAAAAGAAAACAAAATTAATACTACTATTTAATTGCTCCCAACAATATGAAAATCTGAGTAAGATTTCCACCTCTGAAATAGCAGATCCTAACTCAATTCAACTTTAAGGCCTGGAACCTTCAATTTTAAAAGATGAAATCTATATAATCTTCAAGAATTCCATGAAACTAGCTTATATATACACAAAAACAGGGACCCTCTTCTGCACCAAATTCAGATGAACTTATGAAAAAAACAGTTTAAAAACTACATAAAACGCCAATCAAATCATGCTTTAGCAATCCTCAAAAACACCCAGAAAGTAAATTGAGTTTTTTTTTTTAAAAAAAAAACCAAATCATTTAAAGAACAAACACTTGCCCAGAATTAAACATCTTAAAGAAAAATCAGAGTGATCGATGTAGAAATTATTATTGGAAGGGAATTCAAATTCAATTGAATTGAAAACTTTTTATTTAATTGAATGGGACTGACCTGAGAGTAAAAGTGAAGAAACTGGAAGCGAACAGGACGCTGTTTAGTTGCGGTCATGACCACATCTTCATGCAAATATGGTTTATTTGCGCTCTCTTTGATTATTTAAGTAAAGGGGGGAAAACTACTAATTACTAATTAAGAATTCAAGATTAACTTTAATTTTTTAAGTACAACGGTAATTATAATTATAATTGTAATAAAATAAAATAAAATAAACATAATATAATATAATATAATATAATATAATCGAGCTTGATATGCTATGTTTTAAAACTTAAATATTAAATCTTAATTCCTCAAACTATATCGTATATTATTATTCTCTTTCCAGAATATAGGACGTGACATTCTATTAATCTATCTTGTAAATTTTTTATTACGATTTATTTTCATGATCAGTCCGTTTTATTTAATTTAATTTAATTATTATCGTTCTTTCTTTCTTTTTAATGCATAACTAATATATCTAATTTAACTGTTATCATAAGAATCTCTCACTTACATAAACAAAGACTTATGAATCAATTCAGTTTTCTAATACAAAAAGTAGTATATATATTATATTCTTTTAACACTTTCATATTATTATTTGCATTTAAGGGTTGTTTAAGAAAGGGTTTTCATTGCTTTGGACAAAAAAATTGCCAGGTGGGACCTTGGATTTCATTTATATGTGCCCCGTGTGACCATTAAACATGATCCTCGAGGATTTCAACCAGGCGATTAGTGGATAAAATAATTGATTAAAATAACATTATTTGGATTTAATTACATTAACATTGTGATGGTTGATTTTATAGGGTAAAGTATAAACATACTCACTAAACTTTACTCTATCTCATATTTCACTCATTGTACTTTCAATATTTTCAATATACTCACTGAAATTTATAGATTGATTTTTTTGTCACTCGATTATTTTCTCCCTAATAGTTAGATGACACTGCCTATTTTATTAGTAAATAGTGATGATATGTATTTTTATTAATATTTAATTATGACATGTAATATTTAAAATAAAAAAATAAAATTCTTAAATTTTACTCCTAAACCCTAATCTCTAATTACAACCCCACCCTCATCCTACCACTCCCACCGTCTCACCATCCCCAATTGAAAAAAAAAGAAATAAAAAAAAAACACTCACACAATTGACAATACAATCCACTAAAATCAAGTCATTTGCTCAATCAAAAACATGAAACACTAGGTGTAACCAGGTTGATACATCGCTGGTGGAAATTGGAGCTTATTGGCCACTATCAACCATGATTGACGATGGCTGACATAGTGGTCAGAATTCGAGCATGTTGAGAGAAAATGGGAGGAATAAAAAGAAGAATAAGGGAAGAAAAAAGGAAATGAAGATTTCTTTTTGTTTTTATATAGTTGCAAAACGACGTCGTTTTTTTATAGAAATTTAGGTTTTTTTTTCAAAACGATGACGTTT